GTTTTTCTGTGCGCGTACTTTAATTGCCTACACGCCCGAGTGGCAATCCATCTGGCATACAAAGAAAAGCTTGTTGTCCTCCACGGGTAACTAAGATGCGTGTCTGCTTAAAATAACTGCGCGAAGTCAAAAAACTACACCCGCTTGCCGTCAATCACTGTTTGTCTCTTTTCTACTAAAAATAGGTGGCAGGAAAATGTGTGGATGTGCTGGTTGAACCGAAAAAAAAGCCTCTGTCGGCTGGTAGCGCCGCACCGAAGCTAATTCGCTGTTGATTGGCGTGATCACTTGTTACTGTGAGTCCTGCAATCCACACGATCCTACAATTTATAGATGAATCTTGATAAAGCGGCTATGAGAAACATCAAATAAATCCTTGAATAAATTTTAATTTCATAAAAAATAAAGTAGACGAACTGGGAGTTAAACCTTTGGACCAACCTGTGCACAAACATTTCACTTAGATTTTATCAACTTCATAATGGAGCCACGGGAACAGGAAGGCCCAATCTAAGTAAAAAGGATGACCTTGGGCATACTTCCACGAGGAGTAAATAATCCTGTCTCCCATTCCTAACGTTATTTTTAGCATGTATCTAGACCGTGGCCCTAATCACAACCCTAACCCCGCAATTAACGTTAACCTCAACCCTGATTCTTACCATAACTCAAACTTCCTTGACGTCACGCTCAACCCTAACCTTAAGCATAAGCCTAAACTTAGCCCTAATCGTAAACATTAAAAAAACATGTTTTCCCCTGAATTTGACGCAAAGCCATCTGTATTACGGGCGATACTTCTACTTATGTCCAATTTAGGGGGCCATATAAGTCATCCTTATCCCCAACGTCAATCGACTAGAGGCGCAGAGCCCAGACCTGCCAATCCACCCGCACCGATGCGTGTTTCGTCCACTTTCTACACTAACATAACTGGACATTAAGGTTCCTTCCAGCTTTCTCTGTGTGGTTTTCGGTGTAATCCTATTTTAGAAAGGATTTGTACTTTCACCCCATTCCATTTTCAGTAAGGACAAATACGAGGTATCATCAAAGTTAGGCTAAATACCGGAGATAAAAACGGGACTGTTATCAAAATGAAAGCTTTATCTTTCGCATATAAAGATAGTGTGTCCATTGAAAACCATATTTCAACAGGAACCAAGGGTAACAACTAGTGAAAAGCTTCTTTACTAATACTATGTTTCCGTTTTATCTAAGTATCTATATATCCACTATGTGAATATTCTGCTTTAACTTGCTTTTCAATAGCTGTAACGAATCATTCCCAGTAGGCTACATGGTGATTGTTATTTGATTTCGCTACATGGCTGCGGACGCCCAATCTAACTCTCAAGGGTCGATACTTTTACTAAAAAATTATCACCCCACTCCTCCCTCCGCCAGCGTTTCCCC